CAGAGACATCCTTTTCATTTTTTGTTTGAGGTAGTAATCCTTTCATTTTGGTTTCAGGGAGCTATCCTTTTCATTTTAGTTTCAGATAACTACCCTTTTCATATTGGATTCCTAGAGCTATCATTTTTATTTTGGTTTCTCAGAGTTATCCTTTTCATTTTGGTTTCTCAGAGTTATCCTTTTCATTTAGGTTTCTCAGAGTTATCCTTTTCATTTTGGTTTCCCAGAGTTATCCTTTTCATTTTGGTTTCTCAGAGTTATCCTTTTCATTTTGGTTTCTCAGAGCTATCCTTTTCATTTTGGTTTCTCAGAGTTATCCTTTTCATTTTGGTTTCTCAGAGCTATCCTTTTCATTTTGGTGTTTGAAGGAAAGATGTGGGGTAGGAGAGCCAGAGGGAGATAAAGAATAACATGGATGGACAAAATAAGAACATGGACTGGATTGGATACGGCAGAATTTCCAACAGCAGGTCTCGACCGTGAAAGATGAAAGGGTCATTACACGTCAACCTCTGAGTCAGAGATGACATCTCCAGTGATTCAATGATACTTATATTATAAACTCATAAGTAAGCGTTTCTATACGGATGGGTAGTTTCAAAGTACAGAACTCACAGTACAAGCCTTGGCCACAGCGAAGCCTCCCCCCAGCAGTAGCATGATCCCCCAGGGCAGCTTGTCTTGAGCAACCTTCCAGCTGAGCAGGGGCCTGTAGCTGGCTGGCTGGCCTTCACCTGGTGACGTCACAGCGGTCAATCAATTCAACACAATAAGATAAGATAAGAAAAGATCAGATCAGATAAGATATAAGATATGATGAGATAGACAATACTTTATTATCCCAGAGGGAAATTTTTCGTGCCTGTACAGGACCGTAAAAACACATGCAGGAACACATTAAAAAAATTTAAATTACATTGTTATATTACTCTCATTAAAATTCAACCTGAAAAGAGAAGTAAAACTGACAAAATATACATATGACATGCATCATTAAACCACATGCAGGAATTTGATTACAAGACCTCTGGAGTTATGATACATGTATACTCGTAGACACATGCTCTAAAGAATCCAAAATACGGAGATCTGCACATGCCTCGTCGAAACCGAGCAGCGCCGGAAGAGATAGATCTAGGTCAGTCAGGAACACATAAAATTAGTGTCACGGCACCGTGGAATCAGGCGCTCGTCAATTTGGGGCATGTGGAGTTATTGGTATCATCTTAAAGCCTGCCCATTTGCCTTGCTTTTGATTGGAAAAATATCCATTTATTTTGGGGAGAAGTCAAGATATTGGGGATTGAGGGAGGTGGGGGGTCGCCTGGTTTCAGAGGTAAAATTAGCGAGAAAATGGCCGCCAAAGTTCCGCCTAAGCTTGAAAGTCCACAGAAACAAAACAAAATGTACATCTGTTATGCCTTTATTCCACATTTTCTTTAAAATCTACACAGAAATGTGTTCTTTAATGGACACGAAAGGTGCTGATCCAAAAACGAAAATTCGATAAAAATTCCCTAACCTGAGGAGAAATGCCAGTTTCTTCACTTTCATCATTTTGACGAGCGCCTGATTTCACCACGCTGTCTCACATTTCATTTCAGATTACTTGGGACCCCCGGGGCGGTGCTACTGACTGAAGTGTCTCTAGGCCATTCCCAAGAGGGGGGGCATTAACATTTCGAGTTCTTATGCACAGTAGAATTGTAAAGGGGCTGATTTATCAATGTTTTGCTCATAACTGTGCCGGAACAACATAGAAGGAACGCCTGCTTTTTTTTCATTATACTTATTATCGTCATTTTCCTCTACTTCTTTTGTATGTTTGTCATTCTCTTGTGACCCGCTATTTCCAGGGTGGCTTGATAGTCGAATCAGACTTTGAGCTGTTGAAGCTAGAGAGTTGAGCAAAGTAAGTCTGATTCCCTGTAAGGACTTTTCTGTTGGCATCCACCCCTTGGCGCTCATATGACCTGAAGCAGTTGCGAGCGCCGTAAAACCTTTACTAAAAATATAAAGCACTAGGCTCTTATCTGTACCACCAACACATCACTGAAGTTCATCCTCATCCAGTGCCAGATCTGCGACAGACATCGGCGATCATGGTTTTCCATTCATTCCTTTGCTCGGATGCTCTCAGAAAAGCTACGTTTCCCTGATCTTTCCCTGTTACCCATTTGTTTAGGTTCCCTAAGTATGTTGTTCTGGGCCTACCCCTGCCTCGCTTGCCCTCAATTTTGCCAGTGAGAGCTAGATGTTCAAGACCCTTATGTCTATTCAGGTATCCCAAAAACTGCATTTGTCGTTTCCTGATTGCTTTTAACATTGAGCGTCCCACGTGGGCTTCATCAAGCACTACCTCATTTGATTTCTTTCCCTTCCACGATACTCTTAGCAGTCTCCTAAGAAACCACATTTCTGTTGCCTCTATTTCCTTCACTGAAGTTACCACTGTCAATTCGCGCCACGAAACGAACGTTAAACTAGGAGGTCCCGGCTCTTAAATAACCTAATGGTGTTGATAGGGGAGTTAAACCTATACCATTTCACCATTGTCCAATTCACGCCACTACCACTGGCACCATCATCCCCACCACGACCAACAACAACAAAAACACCAGCCCTTCACCACAACAACAACAACCGCCACTTCATGCCACCACCATCATCACCTAAATATCCACCACTACCACCACCAACAACAACAACACTTCACCACTACAACCACTTCATTATCAAACCATCACTAGGCACCACCGACACACACACACACACACACACAGACAAACAGACAACCAGCCCCCCCCCCCCCCACACACACACCCACACAAACACCCACACGATCACCCTCACACCATACCTACCTCTCCAACAGAACACCCTGGGCCTCTCAGCAGGCACCACAAACAGCAAACAGCCAATCAGAACAGCGCACGTAGAGTCACTGACGTAATCTTCCCGAAATAGATCACCCCAGCCGGAAACAAACTCTGGTTGCCTTGACAACCACAATAACACAAGGCACACGAACAGGATTAGGGTCATGACCTCGGCGAAGCTTAAAATAGAAAAATATATTTGGAAAATAGTGTTATTATTATTATTATCATTATCATTATCATTATTATTATTATTATTATTATTATTATTATTATTATTGTTATTGTTATCATTATATTTATTATTATTATTATTATTATTATTATTGTTATTATTATTATTATTATACCATTGCTACTGTTAAAACGATTACGAGAATAATTGTTATTACAAGTATTATCATCACTTTTATTATTGTTATCGTTATTATTATATTATTATTATTATTATTATTATTATTATTGTTGTCATTGTTCTTATCATCATACATATTATTACTATTATCATTATTATTATCATTGTTGCTATTATTACTATCATTGCATAACTTGTAAAAAGTAAACCTGCATTGGGGGGCTCTCGTGGCCTAGAGGTTAAGGTGTTGGCCTCTCATTCAAAGGTCCCGGGTTCGAATCCGGGTAGCGACCGAAAAATTTTCTTCTCTAAAATTGTCTCCTTTCACATCTTTTCCTGCTCTCTAGCAATGTTCTGTTGTCTTCTTTCATTTCCACTTTCTGCCCCCACCCCCTCATTTCCTTTGCCCCCTCCTCTGGGCTCCTGACTCTTTCTGCAGCCTTTCTACTGCTACTCCTTGGCTCCTCCTTACTGCTGTCTTTCTGCCACACCCCTGATCTTCTGGTAGGAAAGATCTACACCTAGCCTTCTCGGACAAGGGCAAAAAATCTAGAAGGGCCCGTGTGCAAGTTGCGCACGTTAAAGATCCCTTGGTGGTCTAAAATCGATAAGAGTAGGCTTCGGCCGCCACCCGGGCAAAATTCAAAATTTCCTACCAACTGAAAATATAAGGTGTGTCCCGCGCGCTCATATGACCTATGCAGTTGCGAGCGCCGTAAAACACTTTACAAAAACAAAACAAACCTGCATTAAGCTAGGTTAGCATCTTGCTGGACTGTGATGCGAGTGGTTTAGGGTCCACATTTCTTACTAAAACAAGTTTGTTTTTTTTATTGTCTTTTTAAAAATTGTTTGAGTTGTTTTTTGTTGGTTCTTTTTGTTGTTTTTTTGGGTATTTTCTTTCAAATAACGTGAGATGTCGAAGTAACTAAGTGCTAGTGTGTGTTTTCAACGTAACGAAGCACGTGCGTGATTAGTCCACTAAATTAAGTACTTGCGTGACGTGGCGACATAATTAATAATTACTAACCACCTAAAAAGTTGTAGAAGTAACTAAGCGCTTACGTGAGTGGTCGACGTAACTAAGCGCTTACATGAGTTGGCGTTCGGGAATAGTTCCGAAAAACAAGCAAAAAGTGGCCCTAAATAAAATGAAACAGTCGTCATTCGCACTGGACGCTCCAAGCGCCCGATGGGGTTCAAAGAGTTAATGGGGTCAAAGGTAGCGTAAAAACAGCTACATTTAGAATGAATAATAAGAATTGTCCACGTAAAAAAACGCTTACGTGAGTTGTGGACGTAACTAAGCACTTACGTGAGTTGTGGACGTAACTAAGCACTTACGTGAGTTGTGGACGTAGTTAAGCACTTAGGTAAGTTGTGGACGTAACTAAGCACTAAGGTGAGCTGTGGACGTAGTTAAGCACTTAGGTAAGTTGGGGACGTAACTAAGCACTAAGGTGAGCTGTGGACGTAGTTAAGCACTTAGGTAAGTTGTGGACGTAACTAAGCACTAAGGTGAGCTGTGGACGTAGTTAAGCACTTAGGTAAGTTGGGGACGTAACTAAGCACTAAGGTGAGTTGTGGACGTAGTTAAGCACTTAGGTAAGTTGGGGACGTAACTAAACACTAAGGTGAGCTGTGGACGTAACTAAGCATTTACGTAAGTTGTGGACATAACTAAGCACTTGCGTGAGCTGTTGTCGTAACTAATCACTTACGTAATACCGCCGATCTTACGGCACTCTTTGCGTATTATGGCGCGGACTGCCTCCCTCTTGCTGACGTCATGTTGGAAGAAACGTCTGGTGTGTG